ATTTAGGAAATTTGGATGAATCCATAAACGAGGCTACTTTACGTGAAGATTTATCCAAATACGGTACAATTGAAAATGTTAAAATTGTCAGGGAAAAAAATATCGGATTTGTTCATTTTATGTCTATATCTAATGCAATGAAAGCTGTACAAATGCTTCCAACCGATCCAAAATATGCCGGTAAAAAGGTTAATTACGGTAAGGATCGATGCGCACAGAGATCTAGTGTAGGAAACGGAGTAACACAATATGCGTTTCCAGCTAGTTCCCTTAACTTTCAAAGTTTTGGCAGTGCTGCCATGGGTTTTGGTTTTGACCCATATCATTCTGCTACTGTCGCTGCTTCAAGTCATATTGATAATGGTTCCGAACTGCGTAGTCCTACGAGTCCATTATTCTCTTCCGCTTCTTCTGCAGCTGGTAGTTCGGCTTCGGGATCAGGAGTTGGAAACAGAACTGTTTATCTTGGTAATATTCATCCGGATACTACTTGTGAAGAAATATGCAATGTTATTCGAGGTGGCATTCTTCAACAAATTCGTTATATGCCAGAAAAGCACATTGCTTTTGTGACATTCATTGATTCTAGTTCAGCCAATAGTTTTATGTATATTGCACAACAAACGGGTGTGATGGTCAAAAATCGACGGCTTAAAGTTGGATGGGGAAAGAATCCTGGACCTTTACCTGGTCATATTCAACTGGCTGTAAGTACTCAAAGTGCCTCGCGCAATGTTTATGTTGGACAACTAGATGATAGCATCACTGAAGAAAAACTTAGACAAGACTTTTCTGAATATGGTGATATTGAACTGGTGAATATTCTTAAAGAAAAGAATTGTGGTTTTGTCAATTTCACTTCCATTATGTCCGCCATCAAAGCCATTGATCAAATTAAGCTGAAGGATGAATATAAAAAATATCGTATTAATTATGGTAAAGATCGTTGTGGTAATCCGCCGAGAGGCATTACAATTGGAGGAATCAACAACGGTAGCGTTATTAAGGCTAGCAAGGGACGTAACAATGGCGAATCCGACGCTAGAGTTCTTCATGCCGGGGATACTTCGGAATCTGATGGTAGAAACATCGATGGTATCGAAGACGATGGTGTAGAAGTTGACGACGAATAAAGAAAGGCACGTATTTAGCATTATTTCTGCTAATATGATGTTTAGGATGACATTAAAAAATATTTTTTTTTAGTTTTTTTATATATACGTGTCATTTATATTGTTAGCATTAATAGTAAAAAAAAAAAAAAAAAAAAAAAGGCAAAAAAAAAAAGTTTAAGAGGTGGATTTGGTACGAGTGTAATCTTTTACTACTATCCATTATATTTTTCCTATAAAAAATTTTTTCGCTTTCTTGCATAATATATTTCTTTTCCCTTTTATTATGAAGCCTTTGATATTGATTATATATATTCATTTTTTCTATACATATATATATTTTTTTTTTATGATGATTGATTTTCAAGTGTTTTATTTTCTTATCATGTTCTATTTTATGGCCTGTTGGTCTATTTTGGTTGTACGGTGATCTATTATTTTTAAGTAATGGTGGTCCGTGATTTTTATTTTTATTTCAATGTCGGACTATGTTTTCGAAAAAAAAGTTTTTAATCCATAAACGAACTTAGACATAATCATTTTTTCCTTATTACTTTACCCCTTATTCTACCTAAGGTATATAAATCAAGTTTTTTTAGTTTTTTTTTTCCTTTGGTTGGATAGGACGGTAAAATTTCAATAATTTTTGTAGGGTATTCTTTTGACCTTAATTTTTATCGTCCTATCCATTCGGATATTTTTGGTCAATTCAAGTTTTCCTTGCATCCTTTAAATTTGTCTCGTTTTCTTGTATCTAATTATGATTAACCCTCTTTTACACCGCTCTTTATCTTGCATTTGACATCATTTCTGGTATACATATTTTTTTCCTTCCTTGGTGATAAAATACCACTAAAAAGTTTGTTTACTTGACCATATGTTTAAAAAATTTACATTCATTTAATATACAGTCTTGTTTGGTATTATCGCCTTTTGATTGCATTTATTTATTTATTTTTATCAATTTCATAATACACGAAAAGAACCGAAAAAAAAAGAAAAGGGTCGATTTTTTTGCTTTCAAAATTATTCAATTATTCGATATGCCCTATTTTTGAGGCCCTTTAATTCTTATTTTTGAAAGCGAATGTAATTTTGCCAAAGTATTTCTTACCACAATGTCCTTTATACACAATAATTTTATTGAAAAATGATAATATTCTTCGTTACCAATTGGTATTTAATCGTTACACCAGTCCAATATAAAAACGAACCACCTCTAATCACTAACTTTTGGATTCTAATTTGAATCTACACATAATATCACCCGTTTTGCAGCCACAATGAAGTCGTCTTATTGCATGTTAATCAATAACAACTTCTACTGGCAAAACGTACTGATCAATATCTTGAAAATGTCGGATTCGGTCTTCACGCTCTCGTTTTAATTTCTTGTTAGAATGTAAGTAATTATAAGTTCGTTTTGAATTATTAAATCATTTTATCACTGACACTAAAAAAAATAACGTTAAATTTTACTCTTTACCTCATCCAAATCATCATCACTCTTATTGGCCTTGTCCTTTCGACCGGATTTATATTTTGCTTTTTTTGACGAACCTCCGATTTTACAATATCTATCCTCCTCAATATCATTGTCTGACGCATAATCATACATTGGTTTTTTTCCTTTAGGATCACTCTTTGTACGTTTTCTACGAGGTAAGAGAGCTTGCAATTCGCTTGTCTTCATGATATCCTTTTTTGTTTCAACAGCAATCTCGTTACGTGATCGTCTGTTTGATTTTTTTTTGTGAGATTGTGAGGAGGATGAAGGATCTTTGTTATATATTCTTTCATTTTCGCTTAAATGACCATCATTTTCTTGGCGCGTATGGGTTTGTCCTTGTATTTCATTTCTTGCTTCCATAGCAGAATAATCAATTTCATCAGTATCAATATCCATTTTTACGTCATTATAAGTACTATACGAATTGTTTTGTTCCATTTTGATGATTTGCATTTAAGTTTGATTTGTTTACGTCTCGCGTCGGGACATCAATTTATTTCCTCTTCATAGTTTCACAGGCTAAATCGGTGCCCCTGAAAAATGTAGCATTGGGGTTAAGATTACGGGTCGTGTAACGTGATCGAATATCGTGACAGATTAGCATAATGCATAGATGTATATAATTGTGTATATATTATTGTTTTTATGTAAAAATATTAGCAATAATAAATATATAAAGCGACAATCCAACAGGGGAGTCGCGAAAAGTAATATCTTTGTGATTATTGTTGTGGTGGAAGTGCATACTTGGGAACTCCCACAGCAAAAGGGTGCAATGGGCCAAAAATTTTAAATTTGTAATTTTATAAAAATTGGAAACTAATTGTTATAATTCTTCAAAAAATTGAGTTTAGAAAAAAAAAATTTTTTTGGCCCATTGCACCCTTTTGCTGTGGGAGTCCCCACTTGTACTTAAGTAGTATAATAAGGCAAATACCAAATATTATATTCTATGGTGTTGAGAACCTTCATGAAAATAGCTGAACGACTTTCTGATTATGACAACTTTCGAAAAAATAAAATTTTTCGGCTTCTTAAAGTTAAAAAGATCACTATTTTTGGTCGCCGATTGTACGATCGGTCTGCAATTCATTTGTGATGTATTCAAGCATTTTCCAAATAGATAAAATAAGTATTAATGAAATTATGACCCTAAAGTTTGCCTAAATTATTGCTTTTCGGCCTTTTGAAAATTTGGGTGTACGCGTTAATAATTGTCTACTCGCTTCGTCCGAAGGGCTTTCCGACTGTAATTTTTTAATACTATTTGTTTTTGTTATTATATGCATTTTTGGTAAAACATCGTTTACGAGAGAAAAAATTCTTATAAAATCGCAAAACGCAAAGTGTTTATTTTTACTCTTAAAAGATGCAAATTTCGGTAGAATTCTATAATGAGCGTTTAAATTGAATGAAACCATGCACCTTACCAACTTCACTAACCTCATTATAATCGATTTTGACAATATTAGCATTTAATAAAAGTTAGATCTATAAAAAGTATTTCTTTGAAGTAGAAGTTTCGAATTTCGCGTGAACAAGTGATATTATCAAACTCGAAACAACAGGGGTGAACGTTCGTGGTTACACAAGCTGCAGATCACTTCGGAGAAGTGATGACCAATCAAAAACGGTGATTT